TAATCTTAAAAAATGCATCTTTTTAGTTACAGAAATCTCCTTTTTAGGATTTATTATAAGGACTGATGGACTTCAAATGGATCCCTCCAAAATCAAAGCTATATCAGAATGTCCACAACCAAATTCTATCAAAGAAATACAATGTTTTCTTGGAATAGCATCTTTCTGTAGGAAATTTATTAAGGATTTTAGTTCTATAGCTGATTGTTTAAAGAAAGGAAACTTTCGTTGGGGAAATGAACAAACTTACAGTTTTCTTACATTAAAAGATAAACCTACTCAAAGTCATGTGCTTAAGCTCCCAGACTTTACACATTTGAGGCAGCAGTAGACGCATCGGGCATTGGCATTGGAGCTGTTCTATCACAAAATCAGCATCCAATAGAGTATTTTAGCGAGAAACTCAGCCCTTCTCGCCAAACATGGAGTACATATGAGCAGGAACTATATGCTCTTGTCCGAGCCCTCAAACAATGGGAGCACTACCTATTAAGTCAAGAGTTCATCCTATTCACCGATCACTTTTCCCTAAAATTCCTTCATACACAGAAAACAATCAGCAGAATGCACGCTCGTTGGCTGTCATTCCTTCAAAGATTTGATTTTGTGATTAAACACAAAAATGGGACTTCAAATAAGGTTGCCGATGCCCTCAGCCGCAAAAGCACATTTTTAACAATTTTACAAGGGGAAATTACTGCATTTGCAGATCTTCCTAATACTTATTTGCATGATCCAGACTTTAATACAGTTTGGAATCAATGTCAAGATCATACAAATGCTGGCGAATTCCATATACTTAATGGTTACCTTTTTAAAGGAAACCAATTATGCATCTCACACACATCCTTAAGGGAAGCTCTCATAAAAGATTTACATGCTGGCGGGTTGGCTGGACATTTTGGTCGAGACTAAACATTTAACCTTGTGGCATCACTTTTTTTCTGGCCAACATTAAGGAAGGATGTATTCAATTATGTTTCCAAATGTTTCATATGCCAGACAAGTAAAGGCACAAAACAAAACACCGGCTTATATATTCCTCTTCCTACACCCGAATCTATTTGGGAAGACCTATCTATGGACTTCGTGCTAGGACTTCCCCAAACACAGCGAGGTTTTGACTCAGTTATGGTTGATGTGGACTGCTTTAGCAAAATGGCACACTTCTTAGCTTGCAAAAAGCAAGCAGACGCAGTATATGTGGCAAATCTCTTCTTTCGTGAGATTGTTCGTCTCCATGGGGTTCCTAAATCGATTGTTTCAGATAGAGACGTCAAGTTTCTAAGCCATTTTTGGCGAACAGTATGGCGTAAATTTGACATTTCTCTTAAATACAGTACAACCAATCATCCCCAAACAGATGGACAAACCGAAATCAGCAATTGGACTCTCGGGAACCTTATACGCTGCCTTTGCAATAACAAACCAAAACAGTGGGATTTGACTCTTGCTCAAGCTGAGTTTGCTTTCAACCACATGCAGAATAGGACCCAGGGAAGTCCCCCTTTGAGGTTGTTTATACAAAACTACCTAGACTAACCGTGGACTTAGCTAACATACCTTTTTCTGTTTATTTTAGTTTGGAGGCTGCCCAGATGGCTGAAAGGATTACCCAACTACATAAGGAAGTCCATGATCATATAGAAACCGCCAATGCTAAGTACAAGAAGGCTACTGATGTGAAGCGACGACTTCAAGAATTCAAGGAAAGCGACCTTGTAATGATACATCTAACTAAAGGACGTCTACCTACGGGAGCTGCTCATAAATTACAAAAGAAGAAATTCGGACCGTTTGAAATTTTGAAGAAATACGGCCCAAATGCATACAAAGTCAAGCTACCCCCGGAATACAACATCAACCCAATCTTCAACGTATCGGATATCTATGCTTATGCTACACCAGATTCTTTTAGCTTATCCACTTGACTCGAGGTCGAGTCCCTTTTTAAGGCGGGGGGAAATTGATTTAACTAACTCTACTTAAGTTAGTTTAGTTTAGTGGTTTGGGGTAGTTAGTCTTTTATTATTGGGTTACTATCCTTTTTACCGTGGCCTTCTTCCTATAAATAGGAGGCCCCTTTATCTTTAGATGCATTCATTCCATTAATCAGATTTTAGTCTTTCCTTTACACCAGTTATTCTCTTACTTCATTAATGTTGACTGCTGTCTGCTCCAAATCTCCATTAACAACAACCTGGCAATTAAGAGTCAACTGTTCCGTATTCCCTTCCAGAATTCCAACAGTTTCAACCGTTTCAGATGTTTCATTGGTTACCAATTTCCCTTTTATTTGAATAAACATCAAAAGCATTAGGGAATGACTTTTCAACTCCCATAACTAACTGAATCCAGCAATATCTAGAGGATTGGAGAGATTACGAAGATCCGAAAGAAAATAAAATTTCTTACTGAAATTAGAACAACAAAAGATCCAAAATCCTTATGAGTTAATTCAACAGTAGCTGGGATAAATCCACACGGGTTCTGTTCAACTTGAATAGTAGCTTCGGTAACATCCAACATATTCAAAGTTCTAGTAGAAATGGCTAACAGACCTCCACAATATTTCTCAATGGCTTCAAAACAATCACAATTTCAAAATGAAAGTGGAAGATCTTTAATTGTAATCAAGAATTTTCAATATTCTTGCTGGACATGTAATTTTGGGGTTTTTTTTTTAGAACTAGGAGTTAGAGCTTTGCACCCCTATACCAAGGGCATCTGTACCCGCCCCAAGGCCTGGACCCGGGAGACATCAAGGATGTTTGGTATTAAGCTCACCAGAAGGTTCGAACTTGAGACCTCTTAGCCAAAGGTGTTTACCAACTGGACTATCCCTTGGGGGCTTAGGGATTTTTCTTATGATCTTTTCTCATAAACACCTTTAGGTCCCAAAAGGCAAACCAACCACTTTAACATTTGACAAAATATCGTAGATTAGAGCTATATTTGTGAATTCTGCCTGTTCCAAAATCATCTCTTTCTTGCTTAAAAAAAAAATTTGTAACAGTTCAACAAAAAGTCTCAAACAAAGGTAAATGGGTACAAAGGAGAGAAAGAACAACCTTTTTGCTCGTATATTCAATGTAGTGGCACTCATTATCAGTCGAAACACAAAAATGATTGTTTTGGATACAACCGTCTTTGAAAAAACCAGATATGAATCAAAAGGAAATCAAACTCAACTCAAAAGACAAAGACGAAAAGACCTAACCAACTAGGCTGGAACCTTGGGGAAGAGAGACAATAGAGCATTCTTCCTCTTGCAAGGATCCTTAAATTGGGATGCTTTTATTTTTCCTGCTTAATTCTCGTCCTTTTTCTTGTACTTTTCATTTTTGTACTTGGTTACCTTTTTTTCTTTTGCTTCAAGTCAATCCTACGCCCAACATATCCCAAAAAGCGAACCATTCATTTTTGTTGTGCCCATCAAGGACCACAATGCTCTTTCTTCCTCGTGAACTAGGCCAAATAATACAATCAACATAATTTCTAAAGTTTGATCTAATTTTTTTGTAGTCTGCAAGCAGAAAAATCATCTCTAATTTGTTTGTAAAAGACTTTATGAATCAGACTGTGCAATAAATAAATGAATGAATTTTCAAACCACGCTAAGCGAGAAGAATTGAGGGGCAACAAAGTACTTTTTTCCATATCTTCAATGAAAAAACACTCATTGATGACCTTGATGATGTTCTTGATGTTCAAGATTCCAGAAGCTTCTGTCTGTGGTTCCTGCTCTTGGGAGGCTCTTTTAGGCTGTATCTGTTTTGGCCTTTTTGTAGTCAGCTCTTTGGCATTGTATTACTTTGTTTACATTTCATGCTTTCCCTTGTCTTTTTTTTCCCGCTCCCTTTAGGGGTTTGTATCTTTTGAACATTTTGTTCTCTTTTCAATACATATCTTGTTAAAAAGAAAAAAACACTCATTCTCAGACCAGATACCATAATGCTTATTTTCAATACAAGCACTATTGATTTCCATTTTGAAAACTTGGAACTTTTCACTGAACTCTAAATCTGAACACCTTTTAACTTGAATTCTAAATAATCTAGGGGAAGAGAGAGAACCGTACGTCCGTACGACCTCCATTCCCCTCATTCACATATATAGGTCGACATTTACCATTATCCTATTCATCAATAATGCAAGTATCTCCTCAAACATGTGACTAATATCTTTCCTCATTTATTTTCTATTATTGCACACGTTCCTTTCTTTAAGATTCCAGACAGCATTTGACAATTGATGACACCAAACGAACCAAAGCTAAATTGGTGTCCGGGCCTTCCTTACAATTGATGACTAACCAATCATATATGAGCACTAACCCTACAGCATTTGATATCTAGAAAATCGTAAAACATTAATATCATGCACAGATAACTACTAAAGATTGAACTCATTACCTCAAAAACAGGTAATCTAGCTTACAACTTACCAATCTGATATTAACCGATACTCGTGAAAATTTAGGCAATCATTCAAAGCGAACTAAAATGCGCAGTGCACACTCTAATGAAAATTTTGGTTCCTATATTTGGTTGTTTTTCTTCATCTTTTCCACTTCCTCTGAGAGCTAGTGTACTTGAAAATTTTTCTTCCTTTTCATATTATCCATGAAAAGTTTGTTTCTAGTTAAAAAAATGCACACTCTAATGTCTCTATCAAAATAAATATAATAGGCATGTCATTTTCCTCAACAAGTCCTAATTCCACTAGTGAACAAAATAAAATGCTCAAAGGAAAAGATTCATACAAAATTAACAGATAAAATCGCATGAAGAAGCTTATTAGGAAATAAGAATGGTAAGAGAATCGTCACAAATACTTAAAACAAAGATATTATTTACTCAAACAAAAGAGACATGGCCAATTTTCAACTTCCATTCACTCAAAATAAACCAGTAGGACTGGACCACAAAATCATATTGCAAACCAATTTGAATTAAACATTTGGAGATTAATAGATGTGTGTGTGTGCGAATACTTACAAGAATATTTTGGCCAATCCAAGAGTATGATGCACGCCGAGTCACAGCCCAGAATATCGCAATAGCTATACAAAAAAGCAGCACGACAAATGACAGAACAGAGATCTCCCCCACTAAAGGCAAATTCAAAGTCTTCCTCTCACAACTTTTGCATTTTCTGCACAATGAATAATGGACACAAGAAAATATATAGAAAAGACCAATATACATAAACAACTCATCATAAGTTTTAGCAGCAAGAAATATACAAGCAAGCATACCTTAACATCAGTCCTAATATAACGTTATGCATTCCCTGAAAGGTAAACCTTTACAAGTTATCAAATACATTTAAGAGACCAGGTTGCCATAAATTATAATGCTTGATACAGAAACGCACTAAAAGACGATCATTTAAGAAGAAACAAAAACTAGTCTGATAAGTAAAAAATAAAAAGAATAAATAATATCAGATACAGATGTTGATGAAGTTGATGAAGAATAAATAAATAATATCTCAATGTCCTTTTTCCAGATGGTAAAGACGTTGATGAAGTTGCTGGCATGCCCGAAGTTAAAGGCTCTTAAACGTTTCCTTTTGTGTCCTTGCATCTTGATGGATCGTTTTGCTTATAGTAAGCTTGGTCTTATATGCTTGTATTATCTGTACTGCTCCTAGTTGGGCCTATTTTTATCTTTTTTCTTTTCTTTTTTCTCTCTCTCCTTTGGGAGTTTGTATCCTTGAACTTTTTCTCATTTTCATATATCAATGAAAAGTTGTTTCTTGTTAAAAAAAAATATTTGATACAAATTAAGACCTTCATTCAAAAAGTGGCAAGAGCCAAAATAAAACAATATAAAGGACACCGAAAGAGCTTGTAGCTTGTTGGGTTAGTGGATAGATTGTAAAAAGGTCCAACCCCCAAGTTCAAATCTCAAATTGTACAAATTAAAAAAAGGAAAAAACAATCTAAAGGACAAACGGACAGGGACAAGACATCCCATTTCCAAAGGCAAAGGGTCAAACAAAGGTCCTCCAATCTAAATGGTAAAAGTAGAGTAGTTAAAATAGAGTCTGTATTGAGCACTCCAATTAGATGTTGTGAACCATACAAAGTCACAAAAATAATGAAAAAAATTAACTTATCTGAAAATATTCTAACATTTCTTTCCTTCCAAATAAGTCACAAAAGAACTCTTGAAGAATTAGGCCACAACACTATAGATTTATCTTTTATTTTTTTCTTGATATTCGTGAGTGTTTGGGCCAGCTTGCATGCACCTCAACTAATCTCATGGGACAATTTGCTTGACCACTTTTAATTTATCTTTGAAACACCAATCCGATAAAACCTCTAGGAGCCAACCTTATATATGCTTTTAGGAACACCACTACGAACCAAATCAATTACAAATAAAATGCTATGCTTTGGAGAAAAAATTGCAATCAATAGAAAGAATGTGGGGCTTCTTCTATTGGACTTTATCAAGGGTGTTTATGCAGCCAAGAGCAAGGGTCCATTAGAAGAATTTACCTTTTGAGGACAGCCTCCTTCCCTAATTAAATTACATAAATACTGGTCCAAAATTATCCTTCTCATGGAGGAATAACGATGCATATTTAATAGGAAAAGTTCTTGAGTTTTCTAGCTTCCAAAAGAACTTGAGTTTTCTAGCTTCCAAAACGAGGCATCAATTCTCTAACCAAGCCTGACATTTTCCAGCATCAAAGAAAGGTTTTCCCATTCTTCCATTTCCCAATCAAAAAGACTTCTGAGGTACCCACCCAGGTTCCATTCTAACGCTCACCCTTCCTTCTTTTATTTGAAAACTCAATATCAAGGGTAAATTCAGTGTCTTTACCTCTATATTTTAGGAGGCTACGGCTAGGCAACTTCAAAAACAAAAATGAAGTCCTGTTAGCTAAATGCTGTTGTCAGGAGGTCTTCTAGGGAACCAAATGAATTGTGGCATAGAGTTGTGTCATTGATTTCATATTGAGAAACGGTGTGCGTTCACTATTAAGCCTACACTCATTCCAAAAACTGATACAACAAGATATGTCTTGCCTGATTAAGATTTCAAACTTGTCGTCTACTTTTAGGGAAGTTCCCTATCTGTCCTTTTGAGATGGAGGCAGTGTTCTTCACTTCACATGACATAGTTACACTCAAGTTTCACAAACTTCACGTCGAGCTCACTTCCGTGAAATCTTGTTAAAGAAAACCAAAGGCTCTTTCTCATCAAAGGTAGGCTCTTTTATGCTACAAAAATAAAATATCAACATTTGATACCTCTCTCCAAGAGCAATTACTGTTTTTATAGGAAACAAAACATATCTTATAAACAAAAGAACAAAAGAACTGTTTTTATAGGAAACAAAACATATCTTATGAACAAAAGAACAAAAGAACGGCCTATGGACAAGGGACAATGAAACAAAACATATCTTATAAACAAAAGAACAAAAGAACAGCCCTTCCAAAAAGGAACCAACAAGACGGTAGCTCTCTCCAATCTTGCAAAAACGTAGAGAGGCTGTAATTACAAAAGAATTTTCTATTTGTATGATACTACCAAGAAGCATTGATATGGAAACTATTACAAAAGAACTCAAAAGATTTAGCCTTGTCCTCAAAGGATCAAAGATTTATTTCTAGCCATAGGTTCCACAAAATAGTTTTAAAGGCGCAATCCGAGAGTGCTTTGAACTTTCCTTTAAAGGACCAACCAAGGCAACATTCAATCATCCAATCTTCAACACATCTACGCAAGCAAATAGCTAGGTCCAAAACTTGAAACAAAAACTGCCACCCTTTTTCAGAAAAGGGACAATGAATAAATAGATGATCTATGTTATCCTGCCCCCAAACAAAAACAACAAGCTGAGGGGGGGAGAGTTCAGTTCGGGCATCTAACTTGCAATCTCTCATGTGTATTCAAGGACCAAAGGGCAACCAACCAAAGGAACACTCGGACTTTCTTAGGAGTGTGATTCTTCCAAATTCCATTAATCAACAGGGAACTCAACTTTCTAGGGAACGCGAGGGTTCCAAGAGTTTTTTAAGAACAACATTATTAATCTCAGAACAAACGAAATTTATATTTGCTTGATCTCAAAGAAATTGCATGCCAATAAAGTTAATGAATTTTGTCCCATAAGCCTTGTCACTTCCCTATACAAAATTATTGCGAATGTCTTGATCGAAAGGTTAAAAAAGGTTATTCACCTCATAGTTGACGATGCTCAGTCTACTTTTGTTGATGGTAGCCAGATTCTGGATGCTATGATTGTGGCGGCAGAGGTTGTAGGGGATTGGAATGCTTCAAAAAAGGTTGCTACTTGCTTAAGTTGGACTATGAAAAAGCTGATGAAATGGTTAACTGGGATTATCTTGACGCGGTCCTTGATCAGAAAGGCTTCGATAGAAGATGGCATAAACGATAGACCAAGGGGTAAGATCCATGCCAAAAGAGGTTTGAAACAAGGGGATCCCCTCTCTCCTTTCCTCTTTACATTAATCGGAGACTCCTTTAGTGGTCTTCTGAATTATTGTTGCAGAAAAAGAATGATAGGGGTTTGAAGTGGGTAGACATAAAGACCATGTCTCCCATTTACAATACAATATCCACATAATAGATAGTTTTTTGCCCTAGGTACAAAAGAAATCTTGGTAGATGGTGGGATCATCTTGTTGTTCGTTAAAGGATCAGGCCTTAGTATCAATTTGTCTAAAACGTCTCTTATGGAGCCGAATTTATCTGGAAGTATAGTGGCTTGCAAGGCTGCTATTAGGGTGTAGAGTTGAATCTCTACCTTTCAACTACTCGGGCATTCCCCTCGGAGGAGACCACCAAAAGATTGCTATTTGGCGCCCTATGGTGGAGAAGTTCACCCAAAAATTAAGTAAATGGAAGAAGCTCCTTCTATCTAAAGGAGGACACTGAACTTAGCTCAATCCATCATGAATAGCTTACCAATTTTCTACTTGCCTCCCCTTAAAGCACCAATGAGTATTACAAAGGAAATGGATAAGGCGGTCAGAGATTTCTTTTCCGCAGGCGGCTCTTCGCATCCTTGCAGGAATTTGGTGAACTGGGAGCAAACCTCTCTCCCTATTCATTTCGGCAGACTGGGCATTGTTGCTTTCACGCATAGGAATAATGCTCTTTTACTTAAATGGTTTTGGCATTTTACCCAAGTTACAACTTTGTGGGGAAGAGTTATGGGGATGATTCTTATGGGTGGTTGTTGAAGCCTCTAAAGGGATAGCAAGGGGAAAACCTTGGTTTGATATAGCCAAGAATATCACTCTATTCCAAAAGTTTATAACGTTTAAGGCTGGTCAAGGCGAGATAATTAGGTTCTAGCTCGATAATTGGGTGAGTGAAGCTCCCCTTGCGCAAGTCTTCCCAAATTTCTTTGCTATCTCTTTGAAACAAGGGGCCTCCATCGCCGAGTGCTGGAATGCAGAGCAGAATGCTTGCGACCTGGGTTTCCGTAAAGGTCTCTTTGAGAGGGAATTGGTTAGCTGTGTCAATTTGGTTTAGTCCGTGGATCCAGAGATTATTTTGGGTGGTCTTAATTAGAAACAGCATCCTTAGTTATTCTGGCAAGGGGTTAAATTATCATGTGTTGAAGAAGCGGAGGGAAACAAAGAGTCATGGTGGGAAAAAAGTAAGTATGCTCTCTTCTCTCTCCTCCCTCTCCTCTCCCTTTCGGTTTTGAAAGAGACAATCAAGCGAGTTCTTAGCTGGGATCTCAGTTTTCATATAAGTACAGTTCAGATTTTAGTTCTATGTGGAAATCAATAGTTTCTATGTGGAAAATACGCATTTTTGCTTATGGTTTGAAGATGACTGGTTTTATGTGGAAGATATGAGATACAATGTGGTACTGTATGAAACTTCTGCAGTTCGCTTGGTTTGGAGATCAACTGGTTGATCTGATGGGTGCAAACTTTCTTTTCTAATCAGATAAGAGATGAGTTTAGTATTTAGAGAATTCAAAAGTTTTAACTATGATTCAAGTTTACAAGTCGAATTAGTAGTTTGGCCTCCAACTGGAGGAAGAAAAAGGATTGCAATCGCTGCTGGTCTTGGAACAAGCGGGTGGTTAGCTTTTTGGATATGGTGAAGATCGGTTTAACAAGGGAGAAGGAAGCTTCAAAGGACAAGGAAAACTCAAATTCTCATCTTTCTTATGTTGAGGCTATAGAAGGAAAAAGGAGAGGAAGCTTTAGGGATGCGCCTAAATAGTAGATCACAAAGAAAGATAAGGTTTTTAGGACTCTTTTACAAGCGGGAAGATGAGAAGGCAGAAAGTCCTTGATACAAATGGGTTTTCGAAGCATTATTGGGTCAGAAAGGAATCCGAAGTTCTGGAGTTGGTGTGGGATAATGTCATGGTCATCTGGAGACTTTGTGCACATGGATAATGGGATGGAAAAGGAAAAAGGAATATATCAGCACTTACAAAAGAAATACCCATTTATCAACTTAAAAGGCACTGACAAGGATTGAAAAAATGCACAAGGTCACAAATAAATATTAAAAAAAAAACACCGAGTGGCTACCAAAATGTAGACTTCCATACACCATTCTACATTCTCAGACAACAAATTTCATATGTATACATACATATATATATGAAATTATAGTCCTCGCTGGAGATGATGTGATGTTAGCATCAAACGCTGAGGATCATAAAACAAAGAATTGATATCCTAATTGAGCACAAATCTCAAAATATACATGCAAGATTTATGTCATTACCTCAACACCACCAATGCAGAACATTACAATCAACACCCAAATGAACCAAGAAGACATAAAGAAATATAGCAGCACCAGGAAAGTAGATGCCATAATGACAAATACTATTGCACCCTTTACATTAATATCAAGGGTTTCCTTCTCAGAGTCATTTTTTGCTGCTCCACTGGAAGATTCCTGGTTCGAAAAAAAAATGTTTGTAAGATCAGATCCAAAGCATTATTGAAAGAGAACATAATCATCCCAGAAGAAGAAGATTTATCCAATGAATGGTATGAAAGTAAAATAATATAATATGGAAATCATTCTTAAATTCCTCAGTCTACACATAAACAACAAATTTCATAGTGATGAGTTACTCATTTACAAGTATAAACTCCAGATTCTTCAATCTAGGGTAACCTAATAACAATTTTTTTTTTTTAACAAGATACAAACTTTTCATTGATAATATGAAAAGGAAGAAAAAAGTTCAAGGATAAAAGGAAGTGAAAAAAGAATAAGAAAAACAATTAGAACACAAAAACAAAAAACCCATGAAATAGATGAGATCTGAAGCCCAAGAACACATGCTGAAAAACTGTTATCAATAAAGCTTGTCAATTCAAAAGGACTTACTACTGAGGAGGAAACCAAAACAATCACTTAACTTAACACTAGGGGTATTCAAAAAACCCGACAACCCGACGAACCCAACCCAAACCGTTGGTTTGGATAAAGTTTTGGTTCGGGTTGGGTTGTAATTTTTCCAAACCGATCGGTTCGGGTCGGGTTAGGGTTCACAATTAAAAAATCGGGTTAACCCAACCCGGAATTATAAATATATTTTTTTTTAATTTATGAGTATATAATTATATTAATATATCTATTTACAATCTCAGCAATTCATTTATTTTTAATCTCAGTCTTTCATTTTAGGGCTTGATTTTGGTTTATCTTTTCACCATCTTTTCAAATACCCCAATCTCACGCCTCCTCTCCTCTACCCTCTCATTCTCGTTTTCTCATCTCTTCTCTTTCTCTCGTCATCTCATTTTGTCATCCCTTCTCTCATCATCTTCGACTCTCTTCAGGAGCAGCTCATCGCCATCGCCTGTAGCAACAGATTCGATGCTCGTCGTCGCCGTGAAGCAAGGTTGTTCATCGCTGGTAGCAGCTGGTCTGTCGCTCATCACTGCTGTAACATTCAATCTCATATTCTCATCATGTCGTCTTGCCGTGAAGCAGATCTTCCTGACCTCTTCTCTATCTTCATGTTGCCTTTCTCCTCCATACATCTTCTCCATCTCCTCATCTTTTTCATCTTCACATTACTCTCAATCTCCCACGATTTCATCTCTCTATCTCTCTCGGTGCTCTTTCTTTCAGAGCTATCCTATTCATTTTTTTCAATCCAGATTAAAAAAAAAAACAAAAAAAAGCGAAAAAATTGGGTTGGGTTGGGTGGGTTGACCATAATATTCGGTTCTGCCGGTTCCTTAATTTGACCGACCTGAAAATTTGGGTTGGTCCAAAAAACACCCTAACCCAACCCAACCCAACCCGTGAACACCCCTTCTGAACACAAGCAGAAAAACTTATTGCCGCTTGGCTGGATTTTTGTATATTGAGAAGTTCTCTTTTTTTAAGGCTTGCTTTAAATTCTTAAAGTTTTTGAGAATTTGAAAGGTCTTTTAGGATTCTGAAGGGCCTTTTTGGGCTTCTCAAGGGCTAGATTCTGATTCATATTTACTATTCATTCAATGTTTCCTAGGTCTGAGGATTTTATTTCTCAATGAAGAGACATTCTGCATTCCGAGGAGGTTCCTCGTTTAAATAAGAGTGGTATTGCCTTTTCTTTCCAAAGTCATAGGTCTACTAGTGGATCATCATCCCTTGAAGTTCTAATTTTTCTAAAACAAGAAACTTGAATTTTCATTGATGTAATAAAAAACAAAAGCAAATACAAAGGTTACAAGAAGAGGAACTAAAAAACAATCGAAACCGGCAAAATAAAATGACTGGTCAGGAAGGCTCAATGAACTAATCAATGAAAATAAAAGCTTCCCAATTTCCCTATGCTATTTTCTCAATCTATATAGTCCTAGAATAGAAAAGTAAGATTAGAGGCATACTTGCACAATGTCACATTGTGAGATCATGTCCCATTATGTAAAAAATCCAAAAATGGCATCACAAAGATAGGCATTCAGCATTCCTCAAACAAAAAAAGAAGAAGAAAGAAAGAAAGAAAGATAGGCGCTTTCAGCAAGTGAAATCAAATACCCATTTTTTATAGAGAGAATGAAAATACCATGACACGAAGTATTATGAGTGCACCTTTGGTGATAATTCATTATAGCGCTCCTCAGTTTGTTCGGAAGCGGTGATCTCTGGCCAAAGCGTGGCACATGCAACTGTTCCAACAGCCATTACCCACAAAATTGCAACAGAGTAGTCCACAATTGGACGCTTTGGAGAATATAACAAAATTTCCACTGTAAGGGGCAAAGGTAATCAAAACTTGACGTATTATTGGACAACTAAATATATCAACAACGAAAATAATAAAATATAAATCAGATAACTCAAATAATAATGTTAACCCATATGTGCAGATACACTAAGAGTTAAAATTGTACAGTCAGATAAATATAAGAATGTATCCATGGGTGCAAACTTACTCTGAGTGCATAACATGAGTACATGCACAAATTGAAACATCAAATAACTAAATTTAAATTTATGCGCACAATGATCATTGAGACTGCATAAATAGAAATCTCACCTTTCTTTCCAGCCTCTATTGATTTCTTAAGAACTTCTCCACTGGACTTGGGAAGCATCACAACCGGAATTGAAATATTTAGAGCAGTGTCATTTCCAGAACAAACCATCTTGTAAAGTTCTAGGTCAACGGAAAAACAATTTCCAAATTCAATAACTAAAAATAAATAGATAAAATCATAACATGCAGGCTGTTAACTTCTTTATAGATTTAAATTACAATTCAAAATTACTAAGCCAAGCATTAGAAACATAGATCGAGAGATTTTTAGAACAAGATACGAGTTCTTGTACATGAAGTTGACAGCCAACATTATTTCTACTCCCATTAGACAATTTTAAATAAGGGATCAAAAAAATTTTAAACTTGGTATATAAAAGTACAAACATACTTAAAAATTTATAACAGGAAAAAGAAATATCTCAATAGTCCATTGATGTACATTAGTACATCTAACCTTTCAGAATCATTATCACTAAAAGATAAACCAAGAAAAAATTTGGAAAACAAGAAAAAATTTGGAAAACAAGTTGAGGTGAAAAAAGAGAGGAAAAAAAGGGATAAACAAAACTAAAAAAAAGAAGAAGAAGAAGAAGAAAACTTGCTACCCTTGATACAGTATGTAATAACCAAAAGAAAAAAGAAAAAACAAAGCAAAACAGAGTAGATAGGAGGGAAAGAGAAGAAAAATAAAATTTTAACGCACTGTTTCTGCAGTCAATCTACTGGTCTACATTTTTATTCACTATACAAATGAAGACAAACTAGGTTTGTCTTTTAGTTTGGTCTAGGTTGCTATTTAATTATAGAATAATAAGATTTTAAGTTTAAAATAATATATCAATGAAAAGTTGTTTCTTGTTCAAAAAAAATAATAATATATCAACCAAATATCTAAGGCAATTATTTTTCTGTCAGGGCACTAAACCACATTGTTAATTGCACCACCTTATTAATTTCACCCCACCACCGCCAAAGACCATTTTCCTTTAAGGCTGACGCCTTTTAAGCCTCGAAGGTTTAAGCACGGAGGCATATGCCTTTGTTATCTAAGGCGGGGAAGCCTCATTTTATTTGTTACAAGCGTAAGCCATGAGGCATGATATAGCCACCTCGCCTCAAGGCACATCTCAGGGCGTAAGCCTTGACCGATTTTTAAAACATTGTTTCTAAGAGGCACGTGGCCTTATTCCTATCCTGGCCTTCCCTTAAATGGTAAATTCATTCTTCCTCATTTTGGGAACTTTGATGGAGAAAGTGAAGAAAAAACTCCAATCATGGAAAAACTACTATATTTCGAAGGAAGGAAGGTTCATCCTCATCCAAGTCACTCCATCAAATCTCCCCATATGTCCCTCTTCTCTATGCCAGCAAAAGTCATACACTAGGAAGAACAAAGTTTCCATTTCCAACAAACACGCATCAGACGCGAAATATCATCTTTTTTGTTATTTTGAACACATGGCAAACACGCCACAAACATGCAGCCAACACGCCAAGGACACGCCAGATGAAATTTTCGTGAAATTTAAAAAAAACATGTAAGGCTACCAAAAGAAACGAAATGAGAAACAAAAAGCCAAGCCGGGACTTCTTCACGAATACCTCCTCCTTTATAGACTTCAAACTTATTTAATAAGGAAGAGTTATCCTCGTTGAAACAAGATTGAAGGTCATCCTCGAATGAGTGATTAACTATTTCATCACTAATCCCTTCAAAAATTTGAAGTTCCCACAATTGTATTAATGTTGGTGGCCATGACCTCAATATCCTGAGGAAGTTCCATATACTTCCAACAAGGCTAAGCCATTTAATTTAGAGAAATTGGAAGGTTCTTTTTTTTTTTGTTTTTAGATAATCGGGAGTTGGAGCTCAACACAGGGGCGGGATCCAGGAGTCATTAAGAGTTTTTGGTATTAAACTCACCAAAAGGTTCGACCATTGGCCTTAGCATCCTTCACTGCTTCTAAATCCACTTGTTTCCATTTAGTAACAGAGGATGTGTTAGTCGGTAAAGAAGTCTGATCAGTCGAAGAAGAAATCTTTCTTGATGTTCTACCTCGATCCCAAGTGTTCGTCCTTGAATATTGTTTCTTATGGCGGTTATCGACCTATTCTTTTTTTTTTTATAAGAAACTTAATATATAGAAAAAAGCATAGAGAAAAGACAGCCTAAGGGCAGGGGGAAGAGGGCTACCCCTCCAAAAAACTAATGAAGTAAAGCACTCCAATCTATCGACGAGAGGCTGTAATTACAAAAGAATTTTCTATGCCTAGAACACCACCAAGAAGTGTGTAACTGTACTGTATTACAAAAAAATTTTAACGTAGAGGACTTATCTTCAAAAATTCTATTGTTTCTTTCCATCCAGAGATTCCAAATAAGGGCTCTAGCAGCACAATTACATAGAATTTTTGCTTTCCCTTTAAAATGCCACCCCTGAAGAGCTTCATTCATCCACCCATCAATATTCTGAGGCAAGCAAGTGGAATACCCGAAGATTTGCAGCAGAAAGAACCACCTACGAAGGGCAAAATGGCAGTGAAGGAAAATATGATTCATGGTTTCCTCATTCTGATTGCAAAGAACACAAACGGAAGGAGAAAGAGCTCAATTTGGGCATCTTCGCTACAGTCTATCTGCTGTGTTTACAGCACGGTTGGCTAAGTTCCAAAGGAAAACTTTAACCTTCTTTGGAACAGAGAATTTCCAAAGAAGAGAAGTTAAAAGGAGAGTTCATAATTGGGGAGTCTTCACACAAAATTTTTAACCACGATTTAACCGTGTAAACACACCAGAGGAATCAGGAGACCAAACCACTTTGTCAACTCCTTCCCCAATTCGAATGGTGTCCAGCCTGCTCATAATATCAATCCAGCCCCTAACTTCGCTATCAAGCAGACCCCTTCTTATGCCTAGGTCCCAAGCTAGCTGTTCTTCTTTCCAACAATCAGCAATTGTGGCCTCCTTTTTCAAAGATAAAGCAAAAATTTTAGGAAATTCATGGGCAAGAGTAGTGTTCCCCGTCCATCTGTCTAACCAAAAACGGATTCTGTCACCACGTTTAGCTTTGAAAGATAGAAATTTAAGGAAAAGGATGCTGTTCTTTGCTATATCAAACCAAGGGTTAAGCCGCTTTCCCCTTGGGCTTTTTAGCCATCCACTCGAGAGGTTCTAACCCATAAATACTTTCAATTACTCTTCTCCAAAGGGCATCTCCCTCTTGGGTAAACCTCCACAACCATTTCAAAAGAAGCGCATTATTTCGAAGATGGAAGGCCCCTATACCAAGACCTCTTTTTGTCAAGGGTAACGACGTGGTATCCCAATTAACCAGATTTCTGTGGGGGTGTAATTTGTCTGGCTTCCAGAAAAAATGTCTCACAAGCTTGTCTACCTGTTTAGCAATACCAATAGGAGCTTTCACAAGCGAAAGGTAATATATGGGCATACTATTCAACACTGCTTGGGCTAGCGTCAACCTTCCTCCTTTTGAGAGGACTAGCTTGTGCCATTTATCAAGTTTTTGCTTCAATTTTTCCAACAGAGGCTGCCACAGACCTGTGGCTTTGAAGTTTCCCCCAAGAGGGAGACCCAGATAAGAGAAAGGAAAATCTTCCACTCTACAACCCAAGCTTAGGGCTTTTTGATTAAGCCTATCGTCATTTATGTTTAAGCCAATCAGGGAGGTCTTATTTAGGTTTAAAGAGAGATCCGAAGCCCTAAGGAACCAATTAACTACAATCCACCATTTGAACAAAAGACCTTTCTCATCAGGACAAAACAAAAGTGTATCATCAGCATATTGCAAGTGGGATATCATCACCTTTTTTTCTCCCACCTCAAAGCCTTAAATCATTCTCTTCTCACAACAAAAGTGCACAAGCCGACTGAAAGAGTCTCCCACGAGAGTGAAAAGGAAAGGAGAAATAGGGTCACCTTGCCGTAAACCTCTTGTGGCCTTAATTTTGCCTCTTGGTCTTCCATTAACGATAATTGAGAAGTTTGACGAGGACAAGCAGCCCCTTATCCACATTCTCCACCGTTGACCGAAACCCTTTTCTTCCAACACCGCATCAATATAATCCCAATCCACCTTGTCGTAAGCTTTCTCATAGTCTAGCTTTAACAAGAACCCTGACTTTCTTGTGGACTTCCAATCACCAACAGTCTCTGCAGCCACTAAAATAGCATCCAAGATCTACCTTCCTTCCACAAAAGCAGCTTGTTCGTCTGCGAGGATGTGAGGAAAGACTGTTTTGAGTCTATCCGCCAGAACCTTGGCAATGATTTTATAAAGAGAAGAGACTAAGCTTATAGGCCTATAGTCACTAACTCTATTTGCTTCTACTTTTTTCGGGATTAGACACACATAAGTCTCATTCGTTCGAAGGTTCACG